GGATAAGGGGACGGGCCACTGCCTCGTATGCGAGGAGATCCGTTGTGTCATTTCCGACACTTAAACACGGGTTCTGTCTGGAAAATTCCCACACGAAACTGTTCCAGATATTTCACGGCGGTGTCGCTTCAGTTGTTAAATAGCTTGTCTGTGGAACACGGGAATAAGGTGAAACCAAATGCAGACGTCAGTCTCAACCCTTTCGTTGTGAAGGGTCCAGGGATCCTCCGTCTTCAAGGTAAATGCGTCCCCTTCAATTCACGTCCCGTTTTCGCCTATCTTTATCTACTGCACTTCGATAGATAGAGTCAGACTTCCTTCTACGCATGTATAGCTCATGATTGCCAGAATGCGCTTCTTAATTCGGATTTCTCCCCTAAGAAGCAGAATTCGTTTGCAGTCTCGTCTGCTGGTTGGATTATAACCTTCATGTCGTGAAAAGAGAAATTTCGACTTTCCGGCCGAGGGAACCCGATTTTGGGGTGCCTGCATGTATTGGACCAGTGCATCATCCGATCGAACCATTGCTCTTCGGTTTGTTCGTACTGTTCTTTTCCGAAAATCAGTCGACTGATTGGCAAATTTTAGCAAGGCAAACGTAGGATGTCAGTTAGACAGCGGTGTCTGTTGGGCAACACATTTTCCCACACACTATGTCGCTTTCAAAAGCACCTTATACCTAGAAGTCGTTAATAAGGTGTCGGGTTCGCTTTCCGCTGCCACCAGTGTAGCGTCCCCAGGCTCCAAATGGGGTAGTAGAAGGCATAAATGAGGTTGAATACATGCATTCCAAAAACAATAGGAGAAATGGGAGCTTGAGCGTGGCCCGAAGGCCAGTCCACACATACTGGACCTAGACAAGTTCTAAAGTGACCGCCAAACGTCAGACAGTCACATAAACAAAGCACTACAACTATAACACCCAGATATGGTAATACTATATTGGAACAAGCAACAACATATTTTGTCAAATCACTTGAACACACGGATAATTGCTTCCACACCACCCATTCTGACCATGGCATCACATTCACTGTCCTTAACAGTGGAATGCTTCCTTTCCCATTGCCTGTTAATAAACTGATCTAGAAAACAATAACTTTTAAAAGTTACAGCGCGTTGCTGCTTCCACAATATTTGCATGCATTTGAGGTACATCTCGTTTTCATTCGAAGACATCCTATACTCACGAATACATTCTAGTTCAAGCATTTGAGTAGCAGCACCGGGACACCGTAATTTTCTGTATAGAAGACACTCTCTAGAAGAATCGTCAGAATTAATGTAAAGAAGCAGATGCATTAGTGTCTGGTAAGGAGAAGTGATATGAGGTGTTCCCAAGGAAAGATGGCGACGCTTCAAGGACCTATGAGATGCTACACTTGGAGTCACCTTTGGAGAGGCCCCAGCGTACCCACTTCACACTGCTTTCCGTGTACGGCGGGTAGCGGAATCTAGAGTTGACGAGAAAAATGAAAGGAATTACCAGGCGTGGAGGGGGCGAGCACACTCCAATATTTGTCTTTAGTGAACTAACGTGTCTACGCTAGAGATATGCTATTCGAGGAAGAATGAGAGGATACGAGATGGGGAAATAAAAAGTAAAATTACAAATTGTTGAAGCTTTCCGAGGTAGACTTATCCAAAACCGAACGAGGGTTCGAAAAGGTTTGGATGGAGGTTTGGCCAAAGTACCGTCCCATGCCGGAATTACCGACACCACCGAAAGGTAAATTACGTACTAGATTTAAAATATGGAAAGAAAGATGCCGATAAATCTCTGAATATAACGGAGATCGGTCGAAAAAAACATAAAAACAGTAGAAGGCGTTTTGACGATGTATCCGGCTTCTTTAACCTAACATTCAGCTGTCATGGCACCCACGATTTGGAGCGCTACCAATGTTTAATTGGGTGGAATGCTATAAGGCAAGGACTCGTCCTCGTCAAGGGCAACCAGTTTCAAGAACCACTGCTAGGACAAGATTTAGTTCGTAAGATCAAAGGTACAATAAAAGAATCTCACTTAGACTTGCGACTCACTGCTTGATTGGGACAAGTTGTGTTAGAATGCCTCCAGTCGAATCAATTCTTGGTTACATCTGCTAACATGCACTAAATTTAATACAGGTTTAATGGGACTTATTTAACTTGCAGTACACCGATGAGACGTCCCAACCACTCAACAGAAGGACTAAGAAGTCAAATGTAGGTAAAGAATTGGCATTACAGGGAATGTTCAGGTTTGGTGACTACTTTTGAGCTTCGATACACCACGCTGCTTAGTTCTTTGTAGATTTAATGAACTCGATCAAGACCATGGGAAAGGGCAGGTAAAGTTTCTCCCCTGTCAACCCAATCTTAAGAGGATAGAAAAAGAAACGCACAAGCAAGTTGCATTATGCACTCGTTGAAGACAATTGATCCTGAAGTCGTGCGGCTCTTCCACGCCTCCATCACGTCGCTGTTTGACGCATATACGTAAATTGTCAACGGCTTTTCGCTGTGCAAAGAAGAGAGAACATAACACTTCAAGTCTTTCATAGCATTTTCACCGATAGCGGCATCACACACAACAAATCTCTGCAAGTGCTGATCCAGCTATTGTTGAAAACCACTAAGTCCATTTCTGCTGACTTAACCGATGAACGCTATATCACAGCACCATTTGTTCAGCAAAATGTATTTTAATGTTCAACTATGGGTATTTGTAGAATCATGTCATCTATCCCACTCTATCTCGCCGAATTCATGCGTCCCAATCAGTTCGGTTCAGGCGCCAGCTAAAACTACCTTCGCTAGAGTGGGTGTTTGAGTGAAGGAAGTGTCTCTACATGGAGAACGCCGGGAAATGGGTGCATATCTGGCCAGATGATGGAGTGGTTTTCCAAATTGCCCAAGACAAAAGGGTGGAGTGACGGACTCACTTTCGTCGCACATAATTTATGGCCTCCTCACATGACTGAACCGTGACAATTGGTAGAATGGGTCCGAAAATCTACAAAAAAGCCAATGAAAAAATGCAAATCTTGCTAATGAGAAAAAGAGCAGATTGTAGATAATTTCGTGTGTTGTGAAAGCAAAGTAGGGGCTTGACGCAGTAAAATAGCACTCTGCAGTAAATTTTCGACGTGCAAAGCGCTTAAGGAAAGTAAACTGACATTAGTACCTCCTCTTGCATTAGGACGTCATCCTCCTTGACATCCTTCACGATTGTTAGCTCAATGAATTTCGCTTCAACGTCCGTTTTGCCACCATACACCTTTTTGCCCTTAGTGTTTTGGAGAAGAGCTGAGAGACGCCTAAGGGTCGAGACAACACCATTCACATAGTAAAGGTGACCGTGCTAAAGCTTTTAAGTGACACAAATTCCTGTTCAGTGTATTCCAATCCATGCGACAGACATACCGTGAAAGTGGATCGAAAGGAGGTGACAGAGTCGAGAAACTTACTCAGTATGTCTCGCATTGATGATGCGCGAGAAGTCCTCCGACTCCTCCATATTTTCACCATAGAACGTCTTTGTTATGGAGATGCACTCCTTGATAAAATTGTCCTGTAAAGGCAAAACTATCTGCCTGTAGACATATTAAACAAAAAATGGAGCTGTTTGATGCTGAAGACTCGTGCCTTGAATTGAGTGAACAGACCACTGTGCGATGAGTGCTAACCATTCAAGTTGACACGAACATTTGATGGTGCTATGGATCCTAGTAAGCATTTACATTACCGTTCGGAGTTATCTTTTACTTTCTCCACAATGCACTTAACAATAGCAAAACAGAGGGGGAGAGAGCAAGGAGTTTTCAAACCGAACCGGTAAGCGATGACTGTGATCAACCACTTGCGCCAACAGTCGTTGTGCACGTCGTGGACACCAGGCGACAATGGCAATGTGCATGTGCACTATGAAGGAAGACGTGAAGCTCAAGATAGATGTTTACTTGTACAGTGAACCTGATAAGACTCTGTGCAACAACTGAGACATGATGATGATGATGCCAGAAGACAATTCCTGTTGACAATCAATCAGTGAGTAAAACTTTCCTATGCCGCAAAAATTGTAAATAGTGAATCCACCTCCAAAATCTATACACACTTGACTCGAAGACAGGTTTTTGGTTCCCTCATTTGTATCATTGTCCTTAACCAAATCTAGAAACATCACTTCGCGGCGGAACCGAAACAAGCATCAAAGAAATGGAAGAGCGCGGATTAGACGCAACAGGATATCCTTGAAGGACTCTTATAAGCTGGCAAATGTTCTTTTGTCTACGATTTACATTTCAGGCATCAGTGCCACGCAGGAATGTGCTATAAATGTAGCAACGATAACCAAGTTACTCTCACCTCCATCCGTTTAAGTCTCTTAATGTCTTTTGCAAAAATACACGAATTCCCCACTAAGAAGAAGGAACAGTGTGATCGTTGCACAAAGACTGTCCACCCAGAAATAAAGTAAATAGAAAAAAGAGTGTAGTTAATTTGTTGCCTACCAAAACGTCGACGTGGCAGAGAACGTAATCAGGAACGACGCAAGTCTGACCCGCGTTGAGTCCTTTGGCCCAAATCAAGCGTTTCGCCGTGAGTGTTAGGTCTGCTGAAGCATCCACGTAGACGGGGCTTGGAAGAGACGAGAAAAGGAGATGCAATAGGGATAAAGGGGAGAAAATTTGAATTAATTTAATTAATCTGTTTGACCTCAAACAACAACACACAACGCCTCATTGTGTACCTTTCACGCTTCTGGCTTCAAAGCGCCGCAAGATGCGAAAGTTTTGCAATGACCACAGCGAACAAAATTTAATTGCCGTAAAAGGGAGAAGTGCCACATGATTCAAGTGCCTCGAACACTGTTATCACAAACTTCATGATTGTTGTCAAGACTGCTGGATCTTGATCGCCCATGTGAAAGAAGAATATCGAATGCAAAGTTGCCACCTCAATGAACCTTAAAGCAGTGTAGTTCATTTGTATACCTAAAATGGATTGACAAATTCACTTAACGCACTTCACGTCATTTACAAACTCAATTGAGTACCACCAAAGCTAACTGACGACTTTGGGAGAGAAGAGAGTTTAAATGAAGGATAGTTGACGCATTCAATCGTAGTGGTATTCGTGAATACGAGGAAATGATAGACAGCCATGCATATTTTTGGCCACTTAATGAAGTTCATTCCAGTGTTGACAAGTCTCCATAGAACAAAGGGCAAAGAGTACGCAAGGATAACCAAAATGAATGGATTTGTGCTAAGGCGTGACAGGAGGGACCCACCTTTTTCCACCCAATTCGAGAGTGACAGGAGTGAGATGTTTGGCCACTTGAGAGAGGATGCTACGTGCGGCGTTCATGCCGCCGGTGTAGAACACGTGGTCGAAACGATAAGTATCTAGCAATTGCATTGTCTTCTCCGCTCCACCTGTGAACACCTGACACACAGTCTACAAGGTGAAATAACGGATCAGTGGAGAAAAGTCAGCATCTAAACTGTGCCATTGTGAAATATGAACGGTGCTATACACACCCACTTGCACCACTACTTTAATCAATCTCTCAAATGGGACATAGGAGTGCCATGGAGATTTTCCGAGATCAAATTGGAATCGACCTCGACGGCGATTGATAGCTGCACCAAGAGAATGTAAACGATGGCGCCACCAATAAGTCTGGTTGACAGAAATAGGCTTCCTACGTTCAACTGTGTGACTACACCCAATGCACCAGTCAACTTGCTAGGTTAACAGGCCATTATCATGCCACTCTGATAGCAGTGATGATCGTAACCCCCCATTGCCTGCCTTAGGATAAAAACGAACTCACTTTCAAATTGTCAGCGCAATAATAACAAGGGTCCTGTATGGAGTGAGTTCAAAAGGAAAATTACACAAAGACGAACAACAATGCGACGATCTTCACAGCATATAAGTAAAACCATTCAGCGGTCGGATACCTCATCAACGTAGGAGGGCACAAGGTCGGCGAGCAGAGACTCTGTCTTCGGTGCCAATTCGGAAGGCTTCAAGACTACAGCGTTGCCAGCACCGATGGCTCCAACAAAGGGAAGGAGGGCTAGAAAGATAGGATAGTTCCATGCCCCAATCACCAGTACGCGACCAAGCGGCTGAGGCTGAATATACACAGAGTCAAACAGGCTAAGGAACGTCCGTGAGACCTGAAATACATAGTGGGAACAAAAGCAGTCGTTTACGCGCGACATTCATACAGAGGCACTAGCCATCTCACACATGTCTTTACTAATGGCAGCGGCAGCGCGAGTATACAGCATAAAACTGATCTTTTACAAACCCTCATTGTAGAATAGCTCATCATGGAGGCTCCCTTTTCAAGCCAAAGTCCATTGACTGTCTACAAACTGTCAGCAATAACAAACCGTTTAATCGATTCAGTCGCCTGCCTTCGGGAATGCATTCACACCACTCAGCATGACGACATGGGTTCAACGCACATCCAGTTGTTGGACGGTCTGAAGATGACTCCTTTGTACATGTGTTTGAAGAGCAAGCGAAGGGAGGCATTTCTCTCAATCTTCGACGAACACCACGTGTCTCATAGCCCACTGACAAACAAGCGCTGTGGTTACGCCCACCCACCTCCTCACTTGACGCGGTCGACCAGCTGGAAACTGCACACTTCGTTTGTGCAGACCCACACCTCCAAAGATCGCCATCAGCATCGATTGAGCAGTCGACTGCAAGCCCCAATTCATCGACTTGACCTGTGATGTGTGCTGATTAGCACCGTGTTATTGCCTCTACTTCCCATTCAACATACAGTGCTACCGCTTCAATCAATTTCGGTGTGCCATCTTCCCACTCCCATAATTCTGTCCTCGA